GCTGATTTGGCTTCGACGGATCCTTGATGCTTCTCACCGGATGATTGAGCTTTGTTGTCTGCTGATTTTCCTACATGTTCAGCTGATTTGCCTTCTGCGGATTTTTCTTCATTTTCAGCTGATTTGCCTTCTACAGATCCTTGATGCTTCTCACCGGATGACTGGCCTTTGTTCTCTACTGATTTTCCTCCGTGTTCAGCTGATTTGCCTTCTACAGATCCTTGATGCTTCTCACCGGATGGTTGGGCTTTGTTCTCTGCTGATTTTCCTCCATGTTCAGCGGATTTCGCTTCTGCGGATCCTTGATGCTTCTCACGGGATGATTGGCCTTTGCTCTCTGCTGATTTTCCTCCATGTTCAGCTGATTTGGCTTCGACGGATCCTTGATGCTGCTCACCGGATGATTGAGCTTTGTTCTCTGCTGATTTTCCTCCGTGTTCCGCCGATTTGGTTTCTACTTGTTGTAGGTTGTTCTGAGCAGATGCTTTGGGTGTATTCTCTGATGATTTCCCTCCGTGTTCAGCGGACGTTGGTTCCGTTGTCGGTGGAGTTTTCTCTTCGGAATCTGGGCCGGGTTTTTTGACTGATTGGGCTTTTTGTTGAGGCGATTCGTCTTCGGTTGAAGGTGAAGGTTGTTGAGAGGGTTGTTTCACATATTCAGCCTGCGTGGGTTGCAGTGCTGGTTCTCCTAGTGGCTGTCCTTTCGGTGCATCTTTGTCAATAGTTGGTTCCGCTTTCGTGAGAAGCGGTTGTTTGTCAGATTGTTCCGCTTCGGTTTGTTTAATTGCTGGTCCAGTTTGAGACGGTGTTGGTTGAACGACGTCGGCTATTGCTTTTCCATCAACTATTCGCTTTCTACACGAACAGCTGAGGAGAATTAAAGTCGCTAAAAGATATTGTATTCGCATTTTTTTTCTCTGAGAATAACTGATACTGTCGATTGATTTGCTCGTTCATATATATAGTTGGTTCGAGCGCATTAAACGCCTCTAAAGTCACAACTGATGCCTTCTCTTTTATTCTTTTTTCATATTTGAAAGTAAAAAAACAAGTTAGGATGAGCATATGTGTTTAATGTGACCATTAGTGGGTTGTAGCCCTTCTCATATATCTCATGAATAGTTTAATTATCTCTGGAGGGCACTAATGGGAGAAAAATGTATTTAAAAATGTTCTAATGCTGGTTTTTCTTCATGAGACACAGATGACGCCGATACGGGTATAATAATTTTTCTGTCATCATTTTGTTGTCCTTGGTGGTATTTTATTGATGATGCCAGTGGAATAAAAAATGCACTGTCATCAAGATGTTGTCCAATTTGATGAAATGTTGTTTGAATTTGTTGAGTTTTAATAGTTTCTGTAACTGTTTCTTCTTTTTCTTCTTCACCTGAAACAACATTTCGTCGATCTTGTTGAGAATTGGTTGGCATTAAATTATTTAGAGTTGATGAAGATGATAAAGATGATACAAGAGGTGTATGATGTTGACGAGAGATACTCTTTGATAATAAAATATCATCATAGGCGCCACTATTTTGAGCATTAGCCTGTTGTAAACGAACAAGGTCTTTTATTTCAAATTCGACTTCATCAACACCAGCTGTTTTATATTCATCTTCATCTGCTAATGGTGGTAGAGCTAAATGTCAAAGAAAAAATATAAAGTAAACCGAAAAAGTTTCTTGTGAATAACAAACGTTGTTTTCTTGGGGTAAATACACGAATTGTTTCATAGATTGATTCTGAATCATGTCCACTCATTTCACTAGTTGTTGAGCCATCATCAGATATTTTAGATGATTGTTTTCCTAATTTTTTATTTTGAACACGTGGAATATCCGGAGAAACTGGTCGATGAGTATAAATATTTGGTTGTTTTTCATATTTAACATCTTGTTCAAATAATGATGGATCATTGATAACCATTTCTGAAGAAGCTTTTTTCGGATTTTGATCACCAATATCCTCTTTGACATTTACATTTTCCCAATCTATACATAATTAACTTTTTCACGAAAAATATATAGAACAAGTTTTACTTGGATTATCAGTGATTCGTTCAGCTGCCATATTTACTGTTGTTACTGTTGGTCCTGGAAGTCTTTGAATTTCTTGATCATGTAAAAAATTTGATGTTTCAATTAATGGTTCTTTTTGAATAAAATAATTTTGCTCTTCATTGATATAAAAGTTCTTTGTAATATTACGCTGAATGTTTGTTTCAATATTTTCTTTTATACCACTGGATGTTTTATCAGAAACAACAGTTATTGGATGACGACTAAATTGGTTTATAAAAGTATTTTTTTCGGACAATAAAAAAAGAAAAACAAAATATACCCATTGGCAAGTAAACGAACATCATTTGATTTTTTGTTTATATCATGACTTCGAATTTCTTCTTCAGAAATAAATTCCGAACCAGATTCAAA